AAGTACCTAGACTAATACAGTTTGTTATGATTGCCACTGCTTAGCACAGTCAATTAAACACAAGTAAACATCTTTCTGGTATTCTCTGCTTTCAGCGAAGAGTCATTTGATAGCAGGAATGATATATCTTTCCCATGTCCTCTTCTTTATCTGGCATGAGCTTATGGCAGTTCCCTGTCAATGTACTGCTGCAAACATTGTTGGATAATCTTCAGGAAAGTTTTACTAGTATGTGATATTAATGATATTATTCTATAACTTGAACATTCTCTTGGGCTACCTTTCTTCGAAATAGGTATAGATATGGATCCCTTTCAGTCAGTTTGGTGAAGTAGCTGTCTTCCAAATTTCCTGGCATAGAAGAGTGCTTCCAGGGCTTCATCATCTTGCTGAAACATTTTAATGAACATTTCATCAATTCCTGGAGCTTTGTTTTTGGTTAATGCTTACAGTGCAGTTTGGACTTCTTCCTTCAGCACCATTGGTTCTTGCTCATATGCTACCTTTTGAAAAGGGTGAATGTCGACTAGTTCTTTTGGGTACAGTGATTCTGGATATTCTTTCCTTCTTCTTTTAATGCTTCCTGTACCATTCCATATTTAGCCTATAAAATCTTTCAATATTACCTGCACCATTCCATATTTTGCCTATAAAGTCTTTCAATATTATTGAAGTATTCTTTCATAGTTCTAATTTTATACAATAAATAGAACACTAATATAATAAAGGGCAAAACAAAATAGATGGAATGTTGTAACCTCCTGTCCAACTTTAAATTTACTTCTGTTTTCCCTTAGAAGTACTCTACGTATAAAGACAGAAGAGTACTCTCTCTGGTTATTTCAGTGAATATCTGACAAATTTACAGGTATTGGTCAGCACCACCTCCTTAAGGTGTACATAAGCAAAGGTGGTGAAGAAAGCTGATGGTGCCTGGCTATCAAAAGATATAGCATTTGGGGTCTTAAAGGCTGGAAGATAAACAAGCGGTCAACTAGCTCGGAGGCAACAAAGCCCACATGGAAGAAGCACACCAGTATGTGTGACCATGAGCTGTCGAAGGGATCGGGTAT